CATGGTATACAGAGCAGGTTTATAACCCTAGCCCTAATTTTTTTTTCGGCAGCTTTCTCTGCCGTTCCCATGGCTGACTCTTCTTCTTCCGATGGTGTTTTTTCCCTTCATCATTCCGACCACCCGAATCTTGTCCTTGTATCCAAGAAGTTGAATGGTGATAACTACACATCCTGGGCCCGTGGCATGCAGCTTTCCTTGAGTGCCAAGAATAAACTTGGTTTCATCACTGGCGATATCCAAGAACCTTCTTCCTCCGACGACCCTGATGCTCACGCGGCTTGGCGTCGTTGCAATGACATGATTCTCTCTTGGCTTCTGCATTCCTTGGAACCTGACCTTCAAGAATCTGTGCTTTTTTCCACCTCTGTCCAAGCTATATGGGATGATCTTCGCGAACGCTTCTCTCAGAGTAATGCTCCACGCATCTTCCAACTCAACCGGGAACTTGCTACAATTTCTCAAAGTTCTTCTTCTATCTCCGCCTATTTTACTCGCCTGAAAGCTCTCTGGGATGAGCTTGCTTCTTATAATGATGGCTGCACGTGCTCTTGCAACACCAAGCATGACCGTCAACAACTCATACAATTTTTAATGGGCCTCAACGAATCCTTTGCTGCTGTTCGTGACCAGATTCTTTTAATGAATCCCCTTCCCACTGTTCGTCAGGCCTGTTCCTCGGTGTCTCAAGCTGAAAAACAACGCTCCCTGGGCGTCCTCCGCTCTGTCGATCAACCTGCTGCCATGGCTGTTCGTGGCCCGTCCCGTCCCTCCTCTGCTCGTCCTCCCCTCCACTGCACCTACTGCAATTTTGATTATCATACCCGAGACACTTGCCATAAACTTCATGGCTATCCCGTTGGCCATCCCCTCCATGGCCAACCGTGGCGACCACCGCGCCGTGCCACTGCTTCCAGTTCTTCCCGCAGCCATGCACCTTCTAGTCCTCCCCGGCAGCCATGGTTTTCTGCTTCCCGGCCCCATAATTTCACCCAGGCCCATCACGTGCAAGGCACCCAGGCCCCCGCCTCCTCTTCTACTCCAGCGACCCACCAAGTGCACGGGGCCCAGCCCACTTTGCATGACTTGCAGCTTGCCATGCCTGACCTCTCTGCCGAGCAGCACTCCCGTGTTCTAGCTGCTCTACGTGACACCACCACCCCTCTTCAGGCCAATGCCGTGCTCACTACTGATTTTGCCCAAGGTTTGTTACATGTCACCTCTCGTCATGGTCAATGGATTCTTGACAGTGGTGCTACGGATCATATTACTTCTTCCGCTTCATATTTGGTTAATCATTCTCCTTCACATTTGCCGCCTGTTTCTTTGCCTAGTGGTGCTTCCGCTCCCATTACTTTTACCGGCACTCTTCCTTTAAATTCATCAGTTACTTTGAAGGATGTTTTATGTGTCCCTAATTTCCGAGTGGACCTTTTATCGGTTGGTAAACTTACAGATGGATTATCGTGTTCCATAACCTTCTTTCCTTCTTGGTGTGTTTTGCAGGACTTGGTTTCGAAGGCGATGATTGGTGTGGGTAAGCGACGTGGCGATCTGTATTACCTTGTGGCCCTTACCTCTTCTCTCCCCACCCGTCAACCTCTTTGCAACATCATTACCATCCCCTCCTCCCTCTGGCATAGGCGTCTAGGTCACCCCTCCTCCACTCGTTTGCAAGCTTTAGCATCTAGCTCTCTTAATTGTACTTTTGATTCTAGTCATATTTGTGATGTTTGTCCGTTGGCAAAACAAACTCGTCAACCTTTTCTTTTGAGTTCAATTTCATCAACTTTCCCTTTTGCTTTAATTCATTGTGATATTTGGGGCCCGAATCGTCAATCTTCTCTTTCTGGTGCTCATTATTTCTTAACCATTGTGGATGATTTTTCTCGCTTTACGTGGGTCTTCCTCATGAAACATAAATCTGACACTCAACAATTAATTAAGGATTTTTTTGCTTATGTCACTACCCAATTCCGCACTACCATCCAATGCATTCGTACTAACAATGGTGGTGAATTTTTATCTCTTCGTAGTTTTTTCTCTGATCATGGGGTGCTTTTACAAACTTCTTGTGTTTATACCCCCCAACAAAATGGCGTTGTTGAAAGAAAACATCGTCATCTTCTTGAAACCGCTGGCGCCCTTCGTTTTCAATCTCATCTTCCTATCAAGTTTTGGGGGGAATGTGTTCTTACCGCTACTTATCTCATCAATCGTCTCCCTACCCGTCTTCTCCATCATAAATCCCCATTTGAGGTTCTCTTTTCGAAAACCCCATCTTATGACCACTTCCGCGTCTTTGGTTGTCTGGCATATGCCACCTCTGTCACTCCCACCACCAAATTTTCCCCTCGGGCTCATCGTTGCATTTTTCTCGGTTATCCTCATGGACAAAAGGCCTATACCCTTTACGATCTCGACAATCATCGCATTTTCACTAGTCGAGATGTCATCTTTCACGAAACTACTTTCCCTTATGCCGTTTCTCACCCTCCTATCCCTTCCTCTTCGCCTACCCTACCCATCCCACCCCCTCTGGACTTTACATATAACCCACCCCTTCCTGCCCCAACGCCCCACCCTCCTCCACCTTCATCCCCTTCCACGCCTCCCACAGATTCCCTTGCTGCCCCATTACTCGTTCCTCCCCTTCCCCGCACCTCTTCCCGTGCCCATAAACCTCCATCCTATTTAAAAGACTACGTTTGCTCGCAGGTGATTCTGCCATCCCACCCATCTTCGACTTCGCAACCCAGTTCTACACAAGGTACGCGATATCCACTTTGTAATTTTCTCTCTTATCACCGTTACTCTCCCAGGCATTTTTCTTACATTAACTCTGTCAGTCGGACTGTGGAGCCTTCCTCCTTTGCCGAGGCTGCCACTGACCCCAATTGGCAACGTGCTATGACTGAGGAGCTTCAAGCTTTACATGCTAATGGTACTTGGACTTTAACTTCCTTGCCCCCTGGCAAAATTCCCATTGGTTGTAAGTGGGTGTACAAACTCAAGCACAATTCCGACGGCTCTATTGACCGTTACAAAGCTCGTTTGGTTGCTAAAGGCTTCACTCAGGCTGAAGGTATTGATTATCATGACACTTTTTCTCCTACTGCTAAGATGATTACGGTGCGTTGTCTTCTTGCTCTTGCTGCTAGTCAGTCTTGGTCTCTGCATCAGCTTGATGTTAATAATGCTTTCTTACATGGTGACTTACATGAAGAAATCTATATGTCTCCTCCTCCTGGTCTTCGGCGACAGGGGGAGAATCTTGTGTGTCGCCTTCACAAGTCACTTTATGGTCTTAAGCAGGCTTCTCGTCAATGGTTTGCCAAATTCACTAGTGCCATCATTTCTGCCGGTTTTCAACAATCCAAAGCTGACTATTCATTGTTCACTAAAAAGTCTGGTATTTCTTTCACAGCTTTGCTCATTTATGTGGATGATATTGTGATTACAGGCAATGATGCTAATGCCATTAATTCTCTGAAGTCTTTTCTCCGTGATCATTTTCGGATAAAAGACCTTGGTGATTTAAAATATTTTTTGGGTATTGAGGTTTCTCGTTCCAAACAAGGGATTTATATTTCTCAACGCAAGTATGCATTAGAGATTCTCAAGGACTATGGTTTTTTGGGAGCACGACCCATTGCTTTTCCTATGGATGACACAAAATTATCTGATAAAGGAGAACTTCTCAAGGATCCTGAAAAGTATCGACGATTAGTAGGTCGATTAATATATCTCACTATCACTCGGCCGGATATCACCTATTCTGTGCATGTTCTAAGCCGTTTTATGCACGAGCCAAGGATATCTCATATGGATGCTGCGCTTCGTATTGTTCGTTATTTGAAGGCTACTCCAGGTCAAGGTTTATTATTTCGTTCTGACAACCAGACCAAGTTAACTGCGTTTTGTGATTCTGATTGGGCAGGTTGCCCTATCACTCGCCGTTCGACTACTGGGTATTGTGTATTCTTGGGCGGTTCCTTGATTTCTTGGCGGACGAAACGACAGAAAACCGTTTCGCTCTCTTCAGCAGAGGCAGAATATAGGGCCATGGCAGGTGCTTGTTGCGAGATAGTTTGGCTTCGTTTTTTGTTGAAGGATTTGAACATTCCTTTGGATGGTCCTTCCATTTTATTTTGTGATAATCAAGCAGCGTTACATATAGCTGCCAATCCTGTTTTTCATGAACGAACTCGTCACATTGAGATGGATTGTCACTTTATACGAGATAAGATTGTAGATGGCACAATAGAGACCAAGCATGTGGGTACGGCACAACAGTTGGCAGACTTGTTTACCAAACCTCTTGGGAAAGAAAAGTTTTCGGGTATGTTACGCAAGTTGGGAGTTCTTGACATCCACTCTCCAACTTGAGGGGGAGTGTTAGACAAATAAAGAATATGGTTGGAGTTCTTGTGTAATTGTATATAATATTATTATTGGAAGAATAAGCCGTCCTACAGCCGTCAAGCCGTCCTACAGCCGTCCTACCTTGTCCTACCTACACACTAGCCGTCCTACAGCCGTCCTACAGCCGTCAAGCCGTCCTACCTTGTCCTACCTACACACTAGGACGGCTACCTTGTCCTACCTACACATTAGGACGGCTACCTTGTCCTCTACAGCTGTCCTACCTTGTCCTACCTACACACTAGGACGGCTACCTTGTCCTACCTACACACTTGTATCATGTATATATATCCTTGTAATCTTGTAGAGAAAAACAATGAGAAAAAATTAAGCATTCTCTTCCATTTACATTCTCTTCCATAAGCATTCTCTTCCATTTGCATTCTCTTCCATTTTTCCACATTCATGTATCAATAACAAATATAATTTTTAGCCTACATACCTTTTTCTACACTCTCATGACCTTATGAGCTTGGGCGTGGACCCGGGAGGGAAGAATGTACGGTAGATATGAAATCAAAAGCCTGTATAAGATTTTATTGGTTCTAATTATTCTATTGCCAATGGCAATTAAAATGCAAATGCAGTGCCCGCTATCAGTGCCAGTAAAGTGTTGTTTGGTGAGTCCGAGTCGGAGTGGCAGAGGCGGAGGCACCGCCGTCGATTCAATTCCAATGATAGCCGCCGGTGGTCCCAAGTGGGCCCAGAAGACCATAACTCTGCCTCCTCTGAAGAGGGGTTGTCATCTCGTCACGCCCAAGGTAGCTCCTCTTTTGAGTTTTGAATGTCTTGATTTGATCCATGCATCCAATCCTAACCCTAACCCTTGATTTGAAATTTGAATTAAAATCAGTCGCGGAATTCACAAAACATGTGTCTTGTATTTCAGATAGTGAAGGAAATTGGGGAGGACTTGTCAAAATTCAACTGTGGCCTTGCCCATCTCTTCTGTAACTTTGCCTGCCTAATACTCTTTTCTTTCAATATTTGTTTTTTGGTTGTTTTGAATCATATTAATATGTGTGTATGTATTTATTTGTGGGTTATATTGCAGTGCAGCACACAAGTGCTTCTCTTACTATCAACGAGAATTACGACTCTGATGTTCGTGACGATACAGAGACATTCCTCAATACCATTGTTCCTGAGGTTAATTAGTTTCGTTTTGTTTCCTTTCCTTTGTAATTTGATCACATGACTCACATCACATGTAGCACTAGCACTAGCAAGCATTGTATGATGTTTTCTTCATTTATTTTCAGGGGACCTCTGCACCGTGGAAGCATACCCTTGAAGGTTGGTATTTCGATTCCATTTCAGTCATTCAGTCCACAGCTTCCATCTCTTCCTCTGCGGAGTACTTTGTTTTTCTCTGTTTGAACCCAAATTGCTATAAGCCTGTAACTTTGTTGGTGACATCTTTGAGTTTGCATTAAATGTATCATCATATGACTGCTAGCTACTGTGGTGCTTAGTAACTCCGATTTTACTTTTCTGTAAAGAATTCCAAATGTGGATGCTGAGTTATCTGAGTTTTACAGGACCAGATGACATGCCAGCGCATATTAAATCATCCATGTTTGGCTGCACACTGATGTAAGGATATCTTACTAGCTTGTTTCAAGTGTTTATATGTGCTATGAGGAATTTATGGCCTCGTTGGCATTTACATGTTCCTTGTTCTCATGCAGGGTTCCAATTACAAATGGAAAGCTTAACATGGGAACTTGGCAGGTATGTGAAAGTTTAAACCATTATTCAACTTTTTCAAGTTTTCTACTTGTAAATGGCTTGGACCTCTCAATCCTGTAATCATGGGTTATAATAGAAAGATTTTCACCTATGCTCTGCTTAATACATATCTTGGACAACGGCTCATTATTCCCTGTAGCAATAGAACTTAAAAAATTAAATTCTGGAAAATAGAAATGCATCATGATAAGGGAAGGTGAACCGCAGAGTTGTACTTAATAAATTACTGGCTGCAAAAGAACTTGTTATGGGAACACTTACATTCTAAGCATTCTTCTCTACTACCGTTGTAGTGTCGGTAAAGGCTAGAACTATTTTTATATAGACAGATCATGTAAGTTAAAAAAATAGAAATGCCTTGTGTAGAATGTTTTGAATGCCAGTGGTCAATGGCGTTAATGCATGGTGAAATATCTTACAGACCTTACTGTAAGCAGCTTGACTAGTCGGAAACTTCTTGTATTTGGTTGTGTAAGTTGATTATTGAGTATTAGCTCCTGAGAACAGAATGATAGATAAGATATGCATAGGCCTTTTCCTAAGATTTCAGCAAGGCTTATAACTTCTAAGAGAACTTGAGTGAGGCAATTAATGACTCTATCGAATTACTCTTTGGCTAACAATCCCTCCTTCAAATTCTGTTTCCGGCGCATTGGCTTTCTAATAAACCAAAATTTTTGAACTTCCGGTGTGTTATAGCTTTATGGAATTTGTATAACTTTTCCTTGTATTGATGCTGCTTCAGGGAATATGGTTGTGTGAGCATCGTGACTATCCTACAGCACGGAAAGTTGTGGTTACCCTTAATGGAATATGAGATGCTAAGATTTGGATTTCTGTCATCCAAGTCTGCAAATAAAGTCGTACTTAGACATCTGGTTTGTTGATGGGAACCTCCTGGAGGGATGTTAACGTCCTAAGCTGTTTTCTGCATCTCTCTGGTTGAATGTTTAGTACCTTGTTACATGTAAAGGATTTACTACTTTTGTGATGCAGACTTGTAGAAAATGTAAGAGCTATTATCTCGTAATAAGTTACTTATTCGGATTGCCGAGGTAAAATCCCATGAAATTGAAGATTTACTAGGCTCGATTATTGTAATGACCCTTAAATACGTCACGCATGAGCTACATCTAGGAATGCATTAAAAAAACTGAACCAAATACTTAACCGAATTTAAAAAACCAAACCGAATCGAAATTGGTTGGTTTGGTTTTAGTTTTAGTGGTTCAAAAATGAATCGAACCGATTTAACCACTAAAGCGACGTTGTTTCTGTACTTTCCCTTTAAGCCTAAAACGACATCATTTTTGTCCCTTATAATGACGTTTTTATAATCTTACAAGTTGATAACACTACTTCTTCCGGTCTTCTTCTCCATCTTCATCCCTCACTCTCCCTCTCCGCTGCTTTCTGCTCCTCACTTCCCAAAGAAACCCAAATCCCACCTCAGTCGAGGCAAGCTTTGGCCCGCCCCCTCCTTCACCGATCAAGGTAAACGCGAATGGAGCTGAAAATGAAAAAGGATCAATCCCCCTACGCTTAGGCAGTCTAGAGGTTTTTATTTGCCTTAGTTTTAAATTTGTTTCTAAATTCATAAACTTCATGTAATTGCCATAGAAATTAAAAACTTGATTATTATCTTGACGATGACAAAAAATTAATTTCATGATTGTCATTCTCTGAATCCTTTGATCAACAACATTCTTCATGGTGTAGAGAACTGCAAGATATTGAAAAAGATAATGTGAGTTGGCTAAAACATGAATAGTATTAAAATGGTACATCCAATAAACTAAAACTAATTCAAAATAAATAAGTTCACTCGCCTTGGTTTAATTTGCTGAATCAATCTTTTTTTTTTTTCTTCTCTTTGGACAGTTTCTTGTATATCCACTCTCAATCATCTTACATGTTAGACATTGCCTATCTTTTTTTTCCTAGATAACTCAAGACTGTTTTTTATCCTTTTGGAACTATTGGATTTCCTCAACTGTTATCATCCTTTTTTTCCTACCTTTGATCTTTGAGATATTTGAATCCAAAAGCAATGTTTGAGAAGTGTTGTTAATAGACTAATTAGGATCATCACGAGGATTTTGCAAATCATTGGTTGGAACCTTAGAAGCTTCTTCATCTGACACAATATTGACTTCAACTTGAGATAGTATTTTGGACAATTCATCTAAAAGTTCCATGTAGATTGTATATGCCTCATTTGAACATGTTGCACAACAAGGTAATTTAGTAGCTCTACGACACATATGGCTACGTCTCAATGCTCTGCTTGTTCTTGACCGTCATTTCTTACCAATTCTTCTAAATCTATAACCCTAAACTTGTTTGCAACTTGCTTCCATCTTTCCATAATGAAGTGGGATGGTATGACACCAACATCTAGATGAACAAGAACTTTAATAATATGTTGACAAAGAATTCTAACAAACTCAAAATTTTCACTCCTAGGTGTCCTCGTAGGTTTGTAGATTGAACTTAACTAAAAATTCTTCAACTTCACCAATTTTTTTCCCGACTACATACATATGAAATTGATTGACACTTCCCTTATCTTCAACATTGAGCCGATTGACATTTATCCATTCTTCCTTGAACTTTTCAAACATTTTTTTAGTATAAACTTAGCCGCATGCTTCAAAAGGAAGTCATCATGATCCACTATACGGTAGTTATGCTTCAAAACAAAATCTTCAACACTTTCCTTTCTCACAATCTTATTGAGGGCTTGCTCATACTTGACAACAAATTCTTTAAGATTTGTTGTTGATGTAACGAAGTCATAAAAAATGAATTGATACACTCACTATGTCCATTTGTATTCATCCTAGCAAAAAATGTGCCACGATTTTCATAGAGTTGGGCAAGCCATTCATTTTCTTCTAATTCTTAATCCTTTATCAAGTTTTTTCATTGTTGTTCAAACTCCTCTATTTTGTATGTTGACCTAAAACACTTTTTCATTGTAATCATAAAATTTGATTTTTTATAGTATATATATATGTGACAATTTTTCAGCAATTTTTTTTCTTAATATGCCAAAGGCAAAGATGATGGCGAATATTAGGAAATATCTGTGATTGTTGCTCTCATTGCCAAATCTTGATTTGTGAGTATAGATACTAGATGACAACTTCCCATAGCTTCCAACATGTCTCAAAAAATCATAAAAATGTTTCCTCTGTCTCATCTTATAAAAAGGCACATCCAATTGACTAAAATGATGATTTACTCTAGTAAACGGTGCAAATAGCATTTCGTATTTGTTTGTTCTATATGTTGTACCAAAACTGACTACATCTCCAAAATAATGATGTGTCATCCGTGACCTAGAATCCAACCAAAAAAAAATTGGTGGCCCTTCCATTTTCATCACATTGGATTGCATAAAAGAATTGTCGATTTTCTGCTTGCTTTTTTTTTTTTTTTTTTCTAGAAATAAGGGAGAACTAATTGTGCATCTCCCCTTTCTAGCTATCTATGCTTGACATTCCGTAAATAGATGTAACAATCCTTAACCCTTTGTCCTGGCCATTGTAGCACGTGTGTTACCCAGGGCATAAGGGGCATGATGACTTGACGTCATCCTCACCTTCCTCCGGCTTATCACTGACAGTTTGCTCAGGGTTCCAAACTTAACGGTGGTATAAAAAGAATACCAGTTTCCTATTGGACAAGAGAAGCAACTAGAGTTGACTTTTTTGTTAGACCAACACTCAAGACCCAATTGCGAGCAATAGCATCTTACACTTTCCCAAAGACCAATACACAAGTGAGAAATGGAGCTCTCGCTCTTTCAGTCAAGCGAATGGAAGTAACTACCAAACTTTTCCCACTGAGCCCCCTCCTCAAATTAGGGGCACCGCACATCTGCCAGTACCAGTTGAGAAAGGGGAATAGAGCAAGGTGTAGCATCGGGAATATATGTTGTGGTGTAGCAAGGCGAATTCTTTCTTCTCTCCAGAGGGGCTGCTTAGTTGACTGGTAGAACAAGGTCCCAGGCCTACCAACCAACTAGGATGGGACATAAAACGTCTTCAGGTCTTGCACAACCGATATCTCCATTTTTGCCATGAATTTTGTGGACATTTTGAGTACCCCAAAAATTTATGGAACTTTGCCAATTTGTGAATTCTCTATGAAATGCTTTTTTCAACTCCTTAACTACATCAAGCATATGTTGGTTAGACTTCATCATTATCCTTCGAGATGGGGTCACTTGTTTGTGATTGTGAATGTCACTAATATTGACACTTTCCACTTGTTAGTCCATTTGTCATGAACAACATGCATGGTAGCCTCACACCTGCATTTAACTATTGAACAACTTATCTGTCTTTCCTTCTATTTTTTTTTTCATGTCACATACATCTTGTTCATCATTATCTTTGGTGTCATCTTCATTTTCAGTCTGCACATTGTATTTTCCTTGAAATGAATTGGAGATTTGTCACCTCATTTAAATGTCGTCCAGACTTCGATGAAGTTCAAATACGAATCCAAAACCCTTCTTGTCGGCCATAATCTTCAAAATAATTTATTGCCGCTTCCAAAGTTTCAAAAAGCATACCCACATAAGGCGTTTCTAATCTTGATCATTTTTCTTTGGAGCATATACTAAATATTTCTTTAGCTGGTGCTAACTCGGCATCGCCGAGTTGAGGATCCATTAAGCTAGAAAAATGAACCTAAAAGTACTATCATCATGTTACTTAAAAATAAAATATCAACTACTCTAAAGGAATTTCAAGCAGAAACATGAATTAAAGTATTTGTTCACATTCAATTGTTAGTGTTCTATTTTGTTTAGGATTGTATTAAGGAAACTAAAGGTGTGCACGTATTCTTGTCCTAAGAGGATGAGGAAAGAATTAAGTTTACTTGTACAATTTAGACTAGGAATCCTAGAAACCTAATTGGAAAAGGAAAAAAAGTGTACTTTCATATTCCTTATAGAAAAGCAAACTTAATAAGAAAATGGACATGTAACCGTTGGTCTATGTACTATAAATAGGCTTGTTGGGGACTGATTGTTCACATGAACAGCAACGTGAAACACTTTCAGAGAGTGTGAGGTGTGATAGATATTAAAACCTAGGGTTTGTGACAACAAAAGGGGTTTTCTTGTAAACCAAAAGTGCTTTCATATTAGTGAAATATCTCGGTAATCACAGGAGTGCACGTAGATAAGTTTTGGCCAAACCACTATAATTTTGTGTTCGACGTGTGTTTTCTTCTATGTGTGGTGTTTTGGTTGTTTGTTTATTCTTAGTGCTTGGTTAATTGAGAATTATTATAGTTTATTGAAAACAAGATCCTAGAGAAAGCATGTTTGTACAACAAAGAGCAACCCAGTGAAGGGGTATACCTAAAGGGGGGCGATCGTAAAAAAGATGACAAATTCAAGTCACGCCCATCGGCCAGCGAGTCTCATTCAAACAAGACGTACATGACATTTTCCATTCCTATCCACCAGATTTACGAGGCAATCAAGAATGAGCCCTGGCTTGAGATGCCACCACTGTGGAGGAACCCCAAGAAGGTACACCGGTTTAAGTATTGCACATACCATTACACACAAGGCCATGATTTGGAGAAATACTTCAAGTGGAGGGATTACCTAGAGAAGCTCGCAAATGAGGGCACGTTCACAAAATTCGTTGCCACTGAGGCCAACAAATTGAAAGAAAATACCTGAGAAAGCTCAACCTCAAAAGGCAATGTAAATCAAAACCATATTGACGAAGTTTGAACTCCTTAGATACACTTACAAAGATGGTCTCCTAAGTGCAGATGGATATTAACAACGACGAGGTGGTGAGATTCTCCAAGAAGGATCACGCAAGGATTGACATACCACATGGCGATGCCATAGTCGTCAGCATCCAGATTGACAACCCCGACGTCGATCGGCACCACAAATATTCTTTAACTCTTGATGGTCTAGAAGATGGGTCTCGAGAAGAATATCCAAATGCAGGCTAGAGCACTTATAGTCTTTATTGAAACCACGACCATCACCGTCGGCATAATAGACCTCGACGTGTACTCACTGCCAATAGTTTGCTTGCACACTTTCATCGACATAGATGA